AGCCCACCTATCAAGACTCACACCTACTGAACTGGGCATTTGCTTGTGGTCTAAATGTTGCTGGCATGGTGGACTATTTTCATTTCCAGATCATGGTTTTTAAAAGACTGCACCAACTAGTTGACTTAAGCAGGAGATGATGAGTGTGGCTGCTTTACTGCTTTGGTTGGATAGTGGAGAGCACAGGGCTGTGGCTTGCCAGTGATCTCAGAGCAGCACTCTACACAGGCAGACTCTGTAAGCTGTAATTTCCTATCCTGATTTTTTTCCATTAAGTTTATTGGTACATTTTAGGTATACAATACAGTTACATTCATCATTGGGAACTTGTACCTTTACATGATGTATCTTGGTTCTTATTTTTTCCCCATTCCCCTGCCCTCCCTTCAACCCCTCCACTCCTCCCTATTTACAGAGGCTTTGTTTTCTCATAAAAGTCCAGAATTTGGAATGGTCATGTTGTTGTGTTGGTGATGCATGATTTTTGTCAGCACTGTTGAATTTGTAAGCATTTATTGAGCCACCTGCTGTTTACACAACACTTTACTAAGTGCTACAGAAAGGGATTGGTGTAGGTCAGTGTCTCCTTTCTTGGAACCTGAGGACTCTGCTTTTGCTGTTGTATTTTCTCAATTAGTAGCCAATTTGTGGAGATGGTAAAAATTTGGATATATTGATTAAAACTTTAAAAATATTTGTATATTTAAAACAATGTTCTATGTACAATAGTTAGTAGGTATGTGGATATAGCATATAATATTGTTAATCTCCAGAAAATGGCATATATGGAAACTGGTTCTTGCAGCCATTTCGGGAAATTCATGATCATGGTTCAAACTGGCTCCAGTGTCTTCAAACTTGAAAAATACTGTTGTAACTCTATAGATGGGACATAAACATAGTAATATAAATGATGCTTAAGGGATTTTTAACTTTTAGAATAAAAATTTGGTACTACATAATTGTCGTTTACTTTACCGGGAAGTAGTACACCAGCCCAATGTCAAAACCATGAGGTTATCTAAAGGAAAATGTCCTTAGTTAAGGTTCAATTGATTTTTCTTAGATTCCTTCCAATCAAAATTATTTCATACTTTAGTTTGCATCATGCCATGATCGTGTTTTGGAATCACTGCATGTTTTGCTTAGAGCTTTCAACTGTCTTTTATTCTTGATGACTGAAATGAAAACCATATCTTCCTTAGAATATTCTAATGTCTCCTTGTTTCTTGGCAGCTTTGTCTATTGCGTAGAATCCACCCTATGCTACCTTGCATAAAACAAACTGACTTCTTTAAAAATCTAATGAATAACTGTCACTTGGAGTTTTCATTGGATTTTCATCATCCTTCATTGTGCAACTTCCCTTGATTTTAACCCTTATTGAGCTGGAATACAGCTTCAAGAAACCTCTGAAGAAGAAGCTTCTGGGGCCAAAATGTCCTGCTGGAGAAAAGATGGCTTCTTTAACAAATGATCCCAGGAAAATTGATGATCCAAAAGCAGAAGATTGAAGCTACACACATCTTGCACCCGGTACTAACGTAAAATCAAAATGGATTGAAAACCTAGATATAAAAACAGAAACACTGAATCTGCTGGAAGATAAAATAGGTAAAACTCTTGAAGACATAGGCATAGACAAGGACTTTCTGAACAGAACCCCAGTTGCTGAAGAAATAACACCAAGAATCAAAAAATGGGATATCAAATTTAAAAGCTTCTGCTCAGCAAAAAAAAAAAAGAAAAAAAAATCAATGGGATGAAGAAGCAACATACAGAAAGGGAAATTATTATTGTTTCAGCATATTCTCAGACAGGGGACTAATGTTTAAAATATATAAAGAACTAAAAACAAATCCAGAGTAAAAGACCCAATAAAAAATGGGCAGTTGAAATGAATAGACACTTCTCAGAAGTACAAATGTCCAGTAAGTACATGAAAACGTGCTGAATGTCTTTGGCCATTGTAGAAATGTAAATCAAAACAACACTGAGATTCTACTTACTCCAAAAAGAATGGTTATCATCAAGAACTCAAAAAAGCAAATGCTGATGAGGCTGCAGGGGAAAAAGGTATCCTTTTCCATAGTTGATGGGAATGTATACTAGTACAACCACTATAGAAATCAGTATGGAAATTCCTCAAAAAACTAAATATAGAAGTTCCATTTGACCCAACTGTACTTCTTTTGGATATCTTCCTGAAAGAGTTAGGGACAGCACATTACAGTGATTATTGCATACCCATGTTAATAGCAGCACAATTCATAATAGTTAAATTACAGAAGCAGACTATATGTCACCAGATAAATGGCTAAAGAAAATGTGGTATATATACACAATGGAGTGCTGCTCTGCCATAAAGAAAGACAAATTGGAGTCATTTGTATAAAAATGGATGGATCTTGAGACTATAATATCAAGTAAAATAAGTCAGGCACAGAAGATTAAATATTGTATTGTTTCTCTTATGTGAGAACCCTAAAATATAAATAATTTAAGAGCAAAATAAAAGAGAGATGATAGGAAACAGGGACGTAGACTTTGTGGGTATGGGAAAGAGATCTGGGGTTGGAGGGCAAGCGGAGGGTTATGAGGGGAAGGAAGAGTAAAAATGATTGAGATATGTGTATGTACCAGTTATCCAAGACGAAATGTGTTTGTTATGTATTGTAAACATATGCCAATTTCTAAAAAAGATATGTCTGGAGAATGATTCCATGGGAGGTAAATATTCTTTTACAGTTTAACCGAATATTAAATTTAGCATCAAAATAATTTTTCCCCAGGGTATTGATGGCACTATGTTATTGTTTTCCAATATTTGAGAGGAAATTTGAAGTGAAAATCTGATTTTTGTCCTTTGAACATAGGTTTGTCAAATAATACACAAGATGCTAAATAAATTTGAACTTAACCAACAAATAGTTTTTTAGCATAAGTATTTCCCATGTAGTGTGCAATATTTCAGGCATATTGTACTAATAAATTATTCTTTATATATCTAAAATTCAAATCTGTGGCCTTTTTATTTGCTAAATCTGTCAACTGTATTTGAAGATAATTCCTCTTCCCCCTCAAAACAATTTAAGGATCTTTTTATTACTCTTTCTGTTTTGAAATTTCTTTTGATTATATATAAATGTGGCTTTTTCAAAATCTATTGCTGCTTAGCTCTCATGGGATCTTACACTCTCTTTGAGCTCCAGAAAACTTTCTTCTAGTATTTCTTTAGTAGTTTTCTTCCCTCCATTTTATTAGTTTTCTAGAGTCCTAATTAGCTTGATACTGGGCTTCATGAATTAAGTATTTACAGAGCTCATCTTTTTCCTTTTGTTTTCCATTTCTATTCTTTGTTTTATATCTTAGAAATTTATTTATTCAGTATTATTTCCAATGTTTTGGGTAATCAAAACTTTAGTTTCTAAGAATTTTTTTGGGGGGGAATTGTCATGTCTCGGCATCTTCTTTGATGTATGTGTCAGTTCATATGTCTCTTCAAGAATATATGGATTTTGGATTTTGTTTTTGTTTAAATTCTCAACCATTTCCTAAGTTATTTTTATTTCTTTTAGGGCCGTTTTGACAATTTATATCAATGTTTTCCTTTCAGGCTGATATTTTATTCTGAGTCTGAAGATCATTGTTTACTCACATTTAAGAATAAAGAACAAGGTAAATGACTGTAGGTAATGGATCAGGTGTCCTTTGTTACGTACATGTCCCCTCAGTAGAAAGGATGACAAGCAGGGGCACATGTTGACCTTAGAGACTCAGATGAGTGTGAGCATGTGAGGCACGTGGAGTCTCCTAGATTCTAAAATGAGATTCTAGGATCCCAATGCTAATGACTAGTTCTCCCTACAAAATTCATTACTTATTTATTTTTAGAGAAATTCATGCTTTTCCTCCTATGAGGCCAGGTCCTCGGTTTGAGGAGGGCATGCTTGTCCCTTCACCTGGTTGTTCTGTAAACAGACTTCTGAGTAACTTCTATTTTTGACTCCCATTCTCATTCTTACATCTGCCTCCCGTTGGCTTTAATTCTGGAATGTAATTTCCTCTTGTAATGGTTCTGGTCTGAAAATTATTTAAATTTGTTCTATCTCCTTTTTGTCTTCAAGACATATATTGAAATCACAAATCAGTCAGTGATCCCTTCTCATTTTGTTCAGTATTATGGGTTCATTTTCCTAAAGAAGTACGCTCTTGGGGAACCCTGGAGGGATGAAAGACAAATGCATGTATTTGACCTATGATCTTGGGCCAGAAGTTTCGTCCTTTCACCTACTTTAGAAGATTTTCTCTAGAATGTCCTTTAGTGAAATAAAATGCATTGAAATCCATATTTGTTCACCACTCAGAATTTGCAACTCATGCTTTTCTAAAAATAAATGTCTTAAAATATTACATCATGCATGTTTTGAAAAATAAAATGATAAGCCTAGAATGGAAAATCTTATTGATAAGTATTATTTATCTTTTCATTATTTTCTTTTCATAAGATAAAGCTTAAGGGCATTTCTACGACATTTGTGTAAAGACATATTGGGATAGAGGTTGTTTAAAAATAATGAAAACATCTACCCCTACTTTGTGATTAGAAACAAGGAACAGTAAGAAAATTGTTATTAACCATTTGAAGTTCAGAAAAATTGATAATATTCTTCATTCTTACTGTAGCAAACACTTCTCATCTTTTAAAAACTACAGTGGTAAGCTGTGGTTATTAAACGATATACTTATTTAATTATGAAAATGCACTGTGATTTATAGATGAGGTCTCTGAAGATCACAGGGTTTAAGACATTTTCCATGTTACATAGCACATAAATCACTGAGCCAGAGCTCAAGCCCAGAGCTTCTGACTTCAAACAAGTATCCTTTCTCTTACAACACAAATTTAGGACTTTTAAGAGGGAATTGAATATGTGATAAGATAGAGCTTGTGGGTATCATATGAACATTAATAACTATGAATAATATTTCATTTGCAGTAAAATTATATGCTTTAACAAGCCAAGTCATCAATGGTGAGATGCAGTTCTATGCCAGAGCAAAGCTTTTCTACCGAGAAGTACCAGCCACAGAAGAAGGCATGATGGGAAATTTCATCGAACTGTCCCACCCAGATATCCAGGCCTCGAGGGAATTTCTTAGGAAATTTGTTGGGGTGAGTTATCTAACTGCAACTTGATGAGAGGGCAAAGTCCTTGTGAACATTAAGCTCACATAACTGTGTTGTCACTTAAGCCAGGCTAAAGCTTTGGCCCAGCTCAGGGTCTAGCCTGAAAGCCTGTTTAAAGGTGCTCAGAAGAGCTGGATCTCAACAAGCCCTTGGCTTATCCCACTCAGCATTTTACCCTTCTTGCACCAGCTAATCTTACACACTGCAGGGGAAGGTGAATTAGCAGTGCTGATATTACTATTTGAGGAGTAAGAAGACTTCTCCTTCAGAGGCTCAGAGATAAACAATTGACACTCAGATGATCAATGAGAAATCAAGAGTTTTAGGATTTGGGATTGATTTATTTATTCCCATAATAAAATTAGATGTAGTAAGAAAATGCATGCTTGTGTTCAGTTTGAAAATAATGATGATAGAACCCTTTTATGTTCTTTATACATAGATCAGATTTTTCCTTGGAAGAATGTGATTCCATTATATCCTGGTTTTGTGCGAACCCCTAGTTCCTTACTTCCAAGCCATATGGAGACAGACAGTAAAGTGTAGGGGCCAAAATCTTGGGCTAAAGTCATCATGGTCCTTTTACTTACTGTATAAGAAATTCTAGACTTATTACCTAAGTGCATGGAGCCTCAGTTTTCTCACCTGTGACTAGGGCACAACAATACAGCTTACCTTATAGAAGAATGTGAGATTAAATGAGACAAAACATGTAAAGTATCTGCTTGGGTGCACAAAATTAGCACCCAGGAGACCTAATTTATCACTGCTACTACTGATAATGAGGTGTCACATAATATATTTTTATTATTTTGTATTAGGAATTGAACCCAGGACTTTCACACTGAGCTATATTGGCATTGAGCTATATTGTTTCTTTACTTTGAGACAGGGTCTTGTTAAGTTATTAAGTTTCCCAGGAGGGGCTGGGACTTGGATTCCTCCTGCCTCAGACTGGTATTACAGGTATGTGACACCACCCTGGCCTATTCATTATATTTTAAGGAACTTCATTTGGTTGTTAGAATAGACTCAACCTATCCAATAATGTTGCTGTTGGCTTAAGCGAAAACTCATTAATGACTCTGGTCATTTATGTGAAGCTTGGAGCCGATTTTATTCTGATAAGGGACAAGTTTTGAAGTTAGGATGTCACCCTACTCAGAGGAATAGTATGAAGACTAGCGCTAGTGGTGAGATGAGGTTTTGCTTCATGCCCAGGCTCCTTGGAGCATGCAGTGCCTGAGTCTCAGGTCTAGCAGTAGAGAAAATGTGATCAGGATAGAGTATTTACTGGGGCAAAGTGTCTGCCCCGACATCAGCTGCAGCCGTAAAGCACTAGGAAGTCTGGTGGCCATGCATGTTTACTGGTTGGGGTGATCTGGGGTGTTTCTAAACCAGTGGTGCCGATTTTATGGATGCTCATCCCAACATGGCCAGTCACTCTGCTAAGCAGCTTAGAAGCCCTGTCTCATTTATTCTTCACAGCATTTTTTATGGTAAGTACTATTATTAGCTCTGTTTTTATAGTCGTGGAAACTGGGGCTTAAAGAGGTTAAATACGTTGTCAAGGTTATGCACTGGTAAGAGACAGGGCTGAGGCTTACGATCAGACAACTCTGTCTGACACCAAACTCCCTGCTCTTAACCATGACCTATTTTTTCCATTTGTCTCATGCGGCAGAAAAATCCCTGCTTTTTTTTTTTAGACCATAAACCACAACTCTCCTCCAGTCTGGCCCAAGCAATCTCTCCTGCTTGCCTCGTGGTGAGGCTGACTTTGATCCCAAAACATTTCAGAAGCTTAGTTAGTAATCCAGCCGCCTTGTCACTCTGTGTGGAACGCCAAGCTGACCACAGGGAAGCTGGTCAGACAGAGCCTGGGAGCTCGGCCACGGACCTGGGAAAGGAAGTCTGTGCTTGCATATTTATGTTGGAAAAGCAGCAACTGTTCCTTTCAAACAAATATAAGGAGTCCTTCTTAGTAGACAAGGCTCATTGTGCAGCTGTGACCTCTAAAGAAGTACAAACATGGTCTTTTTAAAGGAATGATATTTTAGTATATTGACCTTAATGATCTGCTAATTTCGTATCCGGATCAAGAAACAAGGAGTTAGGGAATATGAGTGTCTGACATGATTTATTCTTAAGTCAACTGGGAAAAAGTAGATTGTTTAATTTAAAATTTTGCTGTTCTTTCAACACTTAGTGACACAGGATAGTAGGAAAAGGTGTTTAATTTAGTTGCAAAATGTATTTACTTTAGCAAATAAATGAATAGTACCAACACAATGTCAATGGCACAGCTGATAACTTTCCTCAGCTTTCAAGTAGGGGAAAGAACCAATTCATAAAATATAATCACTGTCGATTGCATTTAGCTTTTGACATTTCTCAAAGATTGAATCTGGATCTAATCTGTTATATTTCATGACTTTTATACAGTGCCATCAAGTTCTGTCATTTTAGTTTAAAACTCCATTAGATGAGCTTAAATAATATTCTTCAAATCAAAACATATAGGCAGAATCAAAACTAAAATGAAATTACTAATATTTTATATGAATCCAGAAATATGAACATAGTATAATACATGAAAATGAAAACATTTTGTTTTGAAATCACACATTGTATGTAGTTCTAGTCACATCAACACAAGAGCATCAGATGTCAATACAATCAGCTTTGGCAGCTGCGGTATCCAAGAGGCGAGCAAGACAGTCCCTGAGATCAGTCTTTAAATGCCCCTTCTCAGCGGAGCTGCTTGTGAATGAGACGGAACAGAACAGTGGTGCCAGGCCACAGGAGGCAGTACCAACCACATAGAAGGAAATGGAGTGAAGAGAACTGGGTAGTAGTGGGGAGAGGCTGGAGGCCACAGCATTCGAGAGAAAGTCACTTTTGGGGCGGACTAAATTAACAGTACTTTCAGGAATAACTGTAGTCAAACATCATACATCTAAAATGGTAAAAAATCCTATTTAGAGGATAGGACTTTTCAAGGACATTCTACTTCAACCATTTCACCTTCCTAGGCCTCAGTTTCTTTGGAAAAGCAGCGAGTGAAACATCAGTGATTTAAAAGCCATAGGAGTTTGCTGAGATTCATTAAGGGCTTCCTTAGAGAAGGATGGGAAGGCTTAGTGAGCAAGGCCTGGCCTCATTTTAACCAGAGAAGCTTTTTGTTTCTGCATTCCATGAAAACAGAAGAGTTCAGCCTTTACAATCTTAAAATCCTCTGGCATAGATCTATTAGGTCTCATTGTTTTATTCTATGGTTCTACTTCTAAAACCACCTGCTATACTAATGAGAACAACGTGGTCAATAAAGACTTTCAGAGCCAAGTAATTATATGACAAATTAATCAAGAGAATTTTTTATGGAGCACACAAATTTCTAATGAAGTCACTTCTTGTAGCCTCAGATAATTTCTCCATACTTCCTCACATCTTATAAATTCCTTTGGAAGATACTGCTTTTACAGTATTGTACAACATAAACTTTGGCCTAGGCCCTTTTATGAATTAATTTAAATTTTAATATTTGAATGAAGGAAATAGTATAGTATAAGTAGAAATGATCACACTTATGGCAATATACTACTGCTTCCACTTCCTATACTTCAGGCAGACATTACTAGTCAATCAATCATAGATCCCTTTCATGCTGAGTCTAAATAAGTCAGATGCACAAGCACAAATACCACATAGCATCTCTCATTTAAGTAAGGTAAAGTATAGACAAAGAATGTAATAAAGGATGGAAAAAGGAAATAAGGGGATATATCTCTCACAAATGGGAAGTGTTCCAGGAGTCTGCGGGCAAGGGGAGAGGAAGAGGAAGTAAGCAGAATTAAGATATGCCATGTGCAGGAACCTAATAATCTCAATGAAGGTAAACATTATAAGTCAGAAAAATGAGCTAAGAATAATAATAACAATAAGAAGGAAAATGTGGAAAGGGGCAGAGAGAGGGAGGTGGGAGGGAAGGGAAAGGGGATTACAGAAAGGAGCAAGCTGTGTTATGTTCATGTTCCCACTCTCTAAGATGAATGTAAACTTCATGTACTGCAAATCTGTACTAATAAAATAAAACAGCAAGAATAAAATAAAAATTTAAAAAAGAATTCTTTTGAATATGGAATTAGTCAGTATAGTTGTCTCTTGAAGGAATCATAGTTGTCACTTGAAGTGACATTCTTAATGCAGAACTGGCTTTGAATACAGACAGTTTCTGTCTGAATTCTAGTTGTGCTATTAGCTAAGCAACATTAGCAGTTTAAGTTTACTCATCTCCAAAGTGGCAACAATAATCATCATCTTGTGGAGGTTTAAAAATTATGATAATTAATATAGCTGTAAAGAGCTTGCTACATATCCACTTGCAGTTACTATTTTATTTGAAAAGAAGCTGCAATCACTTCACTTTTTTCTTCACTGTACCTTCCTAGAATAAGGAAAGCCTTTTGGATGGACCTGAAGGCAGATTTTTTTGATGTTTCGCTCTGCTCGTACTTAACTTTGATCCTTAGCCAATTTTTTTTTATCCTCAGTTCCTGAGAAATCAAGAGTAGGCTTTCTCATTAAGATCTTGATTGGTAACTTCAAGTATCTTATTACTGTAATTTCTAGCATGAAACCTATTCAGCAGTCTTCCCAATTATGACCAAATAATTTAGGCCAGCTGAATCTTCATAATTCAGAAAACTTTTTTAATTGTATAGAAGCAAGTTTGAGAGAGTTTGCATTGGCTAATTTTTCACTACCCCCACTTCCTCTCCAAATTCTCTCTCTCAGTTAATTTAATGCATAGACTTACTTTTAAAAAGTTTCCAGTAAACATGTAGTTTTGGGTACAAAAAGTAGAAAATTTTTAGCATTAAAGGAGACAAGGAGGCTGTTGGAATTAATCTTGATTCACGTGGACATGCTGTGTGCTATGAGGGCTAGATGTGAAATTTACAATCCTGGCCAGAGAATGGAACAATTAGAATACTCAGCTCAGGTCCCCAAATTGACTACCCACATAGGAGGAGTTAATTCAGAGTTCCCAAATCCAGTTTAAAAAGAATAAAATTTCAATCATTCCAATATGAGGTATTTCAATTAAAAAAACTCAGGAAGGAATTTCAGAATGATTCTCCCTGCTTGCCATCCCTCCCTTTATTTTTACAAAGTAATAACTTGTACTGGAGGTCTACTTAGCTGTGGACTTAACCCAAATTATAGTCATCAAAATCCTATCTTTGTAGGGCTACCAATGGCTCATTTATCTCATTTTTCTTGGAGAGAATTACCAAATGTTTAAACTTAAGATATTACTTTAAAAGTAGTAGTTTGTGATTCTCTTAAAAATCTATAATTAGGTAAAATAAAATAGAACTAGAAATGTTTGGGTATTTTTGGAGAAAGGGAATGAATTGTTTTGTATCTTGACTTTGGTAACGATGATTATATACACTAGTTCAAACTTATTGAATTGTATACTTAAAATGACACATAGTAGTGTATAAAGTTGACCCAAATAAAGTCAAATGAAAGAGGTCACTGGGATATCTGCAACTCAAGGTGAGGCTCTGTACCTAAATGTCCCACAAGGTACCTTTCTGCAGGGCCCTGGGAGAGCGGGAACTGACTGCGCCCTGGACTGCGGCTCTGGGATAGGAAGGGTCAGCAAGCATGTCCTGCTGCCTGTTTTCGACAGAGTGGAGCTGGTTGATATGATGGAGTCTTTCCTGCTTGAAGCCCGGAACTACCTTCAGGGCAGAGTGGACAAGGAAGAAAGTTACCACTGCTACAGCCTGCAGGAATTCACACCCCACTTCGGGAGATACGATGTGATCTGGATTCAGTGGGTGTCTGGTCAGTCCTGCATGGTGCTGCCTGTGCCTTTACCTGCTTCTCCACTGCAGAAGACAACACTGGGGTGAATAAGGATGTGGGGGGAGATTAGCTTAGTTGTGCATAGAGCAGTTAGCTTGCCCTATTTGTCATGTAAACTCCCAACAACTCTGGTCCCCAGATTTCTCTCCTAAAGAGTACTCTCTGTACTCTCTTGTACTCTCTGTACAAGCTTGATAATTAAAATTCCATTCATAGGGAAGGAGCAAGTGCCTTTGGACCAACCTAAATCCTTGAAGAAACGTAATTAAACATTAAACAACTGGATCCAAAAAAATGGTTAATCTCCATTTATTGGCAGAGCTACACGTTCTTATATTTCAATTCCCAGGAAAGAGACAGCAGTGAATTTGATTGATGGTGGTGGTGGTGGTGGTGGTGGTGGTGGGGTGTGTGTGTGTGTGTGTGTGTGTGTGTGTGTGTATACACCATGGAAGAATGCTAATGGAGCTGAGCTGCCCAAGAGACATAGACGAACTCACAGGATGAAATAGTATCTCATGTCTATGGAGGACATGCATCCTTCTGTCTAATTTTCCAAAGACCCTTGCAGCTAAAACAATTTGGGCTATGATATAAGGTGTGATTAGGGGAGCAAATAGCCAGTCTTCTGATTCTGAGCTCTCTATTCCTTCCTACTCACCTCCATCCCTCCTCTTGTTTTAACCTGTTTCCCCCACTTGACCCCACCTATAGGGTACTTAACTGATAAGGACCTGCTTGCATTTCTTTCCCGGTGCCGAGATGGCCTGAAAGAAAATGGCATCATCATACTGAAGGATAATGTGGCACGGGAGGGCTGTGTCTTCGACCTCTCTGACAGCAGTGTGACTCGGGACATGGACATCCTCAGGACCCTCATTAGCAAGAGTGGGCTGTTGGTGCTGGGCCAGGAAAAGCAAGAGGGCTTTCCAGAGCAGTGCATTCCAGTGTGGATGTTCGCACTGCACCGTGGTAGACTCTCCTGAGTAGTGGTGGAGTGGACAGCTGGATGGGGCAGTGGTGCTTTGGGACAGAATGCTTCCTCCAAGGTGCCCCTTGGAATGCAGGCAGGAATGGAGAGAAGGGAAGGGATACAGTGCATGTTGGGGAATGATTGATGATGTGGTATGTACAGGTTTTTGGTGATAAGCTAATGCATGCATTCTGATGTGCACACAATTGGGGTTGTACACTCTGTAGTACTCAGTGGATTTTCTAAAAAATGGAGTGAAACATCAGGAAGAGTGCTTTAAGAAACTGTGAAATTGACAGGTGAGATTACACATAATTAAAAAGTTTTTGTACACAAAGGAAACAATCGATAGAGTGAAGAGACAATCTACAGAATGGGAGAAAATTTTGTTCAGCTATTCATCTGAGAGAGAATAAATATAACTCAAAAAGTTTACCACCAAAACCCCCCCAATAAATCCTATTCAATAAGTGGGCAAATGAACTGAACAGGTGCTTCTCAAATGAAGTACAAGTGCATAATATATGCATGAAAAAATGCTCAATATCTTTAATCATCAGGGAAACACAAATCAAAACTACATTAAAATGCCATCTTACTGTAGTCAGAATGACCATTATCAAGAAAACAAAAATACCAAATGCTGGAAAGGATGCAGGGAAAAAAAGGAACTCTTCTACTCTGTTGGTGGGAATGCACTCTACTACAGCCACTATGAAAAACAGTATGGAGGCTGCTCAAAACACTAAAAATAGAGCCAAATGACCCAGCTATACCACTCCTGTATATTTACATGAAGGATCAAAGCCAACATAATTTGGAGATACCTGCTACCTATGTTTATTGTGGCATTCTTCACAATGGCCAAGGTATGGAAGCAGCTCAGATGCCCATCAGGGAATGGCTGGACAAAGAAAATCTGGGATACAATGGGGTGTTCTTCAGCCATAAGGAAAAATGAAGTAATGTCACCTATAGGAAGTAGATGGAACTGAAGGACGTCGTGTTAGGCAAAATAAGCCAGACTCAGAAAGACAAGTGTTGTATGTTTTCTCTCATATGTGGAATCTAGCAGTGGAAAGATGACATGAAAGCAGAAGGGATGCTATAAGGAAGGGGAGGGGGACTGCATGGAAGGGGAAGGTCACAGAGAGGGTAATGAGATGGGCATGATCGAAGTACATTATTGGCATGCATGAAAATGTTGAAAGAAAGCCCATTATGTTGTTCAATTAATATGTGCTAATTATAATAAAGAAATTCCTTGTATACACCTGACCTGTACAAGTGTGCATGAGAAGGAAAAGAAAAGACTTTCTAAATTGTCTTAGTCACTGGTAATTTGTGCTGTCCAGTAGTCCAGGATGGGTGGAAGAAAATCGAGCCCACTTTCCTGCTCTCGTGTCAGTTTCATCAGTTTCCTCTCCCTTTGGTGCTGCTACTTCTCTTGAATGAGCATCTTTCCCTAATTAAGAATTCACAAGTCAAATGAGCTTGTGAAAACACACCTAGTAATTTTGACTTTGGCCCTTCTCTTGGCAGAAGAAGTGGATGGTTTCACTTTCTATTTTGGGTCCTTGTTACTATGCAATGATGTAATATGGTTGTAATTTGATAACAGTAGCCTGCGTCACAGCGATGGGAAGTATCCCCTTCCAGAAGAAAAATGCTGTACCCTGAGGTTGCAGCCTTGAATTTATAAGCAAATGCCGTGGATAATCTAATTTTAGCCACTGACTTCGGCCCTGCCCACACTGCAGCTGCTCATGGATCTCTGAATGAATGTATATGTATTAGAAATTCACCAGAGGAAATGATAAATTGAAAATTGAACCAGCTGCATTAATATAAGGATTGGTTTAATTAAAGGTAATCTAAGGTACTATTCTGCCATAAAGGAGGTGGAACTTCAGTCTTTTTTTAGGAAAATGGATGCACCTTGAGGCCATAATCTTAAGTAAAACAAATCAGACCTACAGACTTAAATATCACATGATTTGTCTTAAATGAGAAGCCCAAAGTGATTTAAAGAGCAAAATGAAAGACAGCTAATAGGAAACATGGAGAGAGATCTTTTCTAAGAGATAGAGGGGGAGGGCAGGGAGTGTTGGGGAAGGGGATGAAAAAAGACTTATGATGTGCTACGTACAGGTACCAACTCCCCACGATGAATGCAATCATTATGTACTGCAAACAGGGACTAATAAAATTTTTTAAATCTAAAATCTTTCAAAAAGAAAAACGTAACTTAATTTTTATTAAAAAAAGTTTAAATATAACGGCTGTCATCATTCAACATTCCAATATTTTTGTCTTAAAGTACATATTGTGTTTTGATATATATTGAGTCTTCCATAAAATTCAAGGGGTCAATTAAGTAAAGAAGGCCTACTGCGTGGCTCAGCTGTAATCATGAGAATCATGTTTCCAAGTCATAGCTCTAATTTAAGAGGAAAATAATTCTTATGAAACATTTGTTATCTGGCATTATCTTGGTGTTTTCCTCTAGTGTGCTAGAAAATTATGTCACCTTTTCTGCCTGAGGCACCTTCTAGTTGTTGTAGTTACCCTCCGTCCTGTCCTCTAGGGTAAGGTAACAGAAGGTAACTGAGTCAAGACCAGTTGGAGCAAGGCAGAAGTCAGAGGCAAATCAAATGGTAAAACACCACCATGTAGACTGAGTCTGACAGAAAAAAGATACATGTGTTTTTGTCCTCCATAAGTTTTTAAGCAAATTAGCAGATGCTTTGTTGTAAGCTGTCCTAGGAATTTTTCTATTTTTTTATACCAGGACCCTTAATTCTCTTGACTTTTTACTTTTCCAATACTTAGAAGCTGACCTAGCTGTCAATTTTCTCTGCTCTTGTGTTCTTGAGCTTATGGAGAAAATAATGGTCCTGTGGATTCCAATGTACAATCTTCCACTTAGTTGGGTCTTTGAGATTAATGACGAGTCTCTTCTCTCTTCTTAAGTCAGGTCACTTACCATTCTTCTTAGAAATTTTCTAGATCTCTATTGCTTTATACAAATCCTTCAATTACATATCCAAATTTAATTTAAGAAAGTAGAAACAGGAGTGAGTTGTACCTAGCTGAACTGTTAACAATATGTAGAGAATAAGGAGAAAATTGGTTTGAGAAGAATTGAAGCCAAATCATGAGCTTAACAGGACATGTTAAAGTTTTGATGATACTCAATGAACAAGCAGAAGCCCTTGAAGGTGACAGATTAGGGACTGATTTTTTTGGTCATAGACACTGTGGAAGGAAGACTTTTAGAGGGAGACATACTCTAGCCATCTTCAACCTGATTCTGTAAGCCAAACACATTGGAAGCTAGTGGCATGTGTGGCAATCTACGTTAGTACCCGGTTACTGGTCCATGGTGCAGCTGCCTCAGAATTATTTGGGGAAATGCATAACTACTTATGCATTCCTTCAGCTCCATGAGAGTTTGGTTCTATGAAGGGAGATCAGATAATTTTTTGTGTTTTATAAGTGGTCTAGCTGATTCTGAAAATCAGTTTTGTTTTAAGACACGGATGAAGAGAGAGAGTCACGAAGCTGAGCTCTTCAGAAAGACGAAGCAGGGCAGGCAAGTGTACAAGTTAGGTTTGGGGAAACAGCCAGATGGTAAAATCCATTCTCCACATTGATGCCAGTGTTTCTGAAATACAAATCTGACCATATTGTGTATTATCCCTGTGAATTCACATTGCTTAAGAATGGCATAGAAAGCTTTTCATGATTTAGTCCTGGCTTTCCTCTTCAGCCTATTTTATCAATCCCTACAGTTGTACTTGACAATCTACAGTTCCCTGAAAGAGACATGGTTTATGACTCAGGGCATTTACAGCATTTACTTCCTCAGCAGAGAATATCTTCCATTATTTTGTGTCAGGCCCAAAATGTGTCAGGCACTGAGTCCTAGAAGCTTCCTTCTTTCTGTCCCCCTTCCCCCTTGCTGCTGGGCTCAGTGTCCCTATTCCGTGCCACCTTCTGCTCACCATATCACATCACTCACCATGTGGCATCATAATCATCTGTGTACTTGCCATTTCCTCTATTACATTCCTAGCTCTTGAGGGAATATTCATGGTTAGAGTTTCAGTCTCTATTATAGGCCTTAGCATTCTGTAGGATCTCTAAACTTTTGTGGGAAGAATGCAAAGTGATATTAAGAGTAGAAAGACCCAGGGCAGTCTTATTTTCTAGGAGTCAGAGCAAAGCATCAGGGAAAACTAAGGGTTTCTGAGGTTCCATGAGCATAGGGATATCCAAGGTCAGTCAAAACACCAAACAAACAATGCAAGTGGCACAATCCAGGGGCAAGGCAAGCAGCTAAGAGGAGAAAAAGATTAGACTGTAGCAAAAAGACTAGGCCCTACGGTAAAACCTTGAATAATTAGGAAAGGTATCCCCTCCATCTTTTCTCTCTCTCATAGGTTCCAAGGCAAAAATACAGCTAGCTCCAAGTCCATACTTCCATTAGGTGAGTTTGTGTACTTGATAGGAGAAATATGTTAAAATTACGGGTAGGTTGTAACAAAGCAACTCCTAATCCTCACTCATTTCTCACTAAGCAACACATTCAAAGAAGGTAATAAGGCTATAGATGAAGTTAATCCTCTGTAAATGTTGAATTGCAAGTGTGTCTGTAATTCTGGATGAACTTTGGAGGGCCCCTTGGTTTACCAGTGATCCATGAGTGGGTGCTGCCTTCACCATCTCTTCTGAGAACTTGGGCCACCAGTCCTGTGTGCCAGCATGCATCTTACATGCCACATCTTACAAGGTCAGGAATTTTATAGATTTGGGACCATCATAAAAATATAAAATAAAATGAATAAGGCCATCATATGAAAGATGATCTGGTTTGCATTATGGACACATTTTGGCCCCATCTTTGTTTTGTTTTTTTTTCTCTCTCCATCATTTCCCGTAGCTGGCCTTTGAGTGATGTATTGGGGAGAAGGCCTATGTCAGATATATTCAGCTGCCTGTCATGAGTAA